ATGCAAAGTTTCATATTCATTAGAAAACCTGTGATGATTATAATGATGTGTCAGTACATGGCAGTAAGACAATGACCAACCCTTTCCCACAAATGTTTTCAATTAGCAAATTTTGTATGAATAATTTGAAAGAAAAAACCCTTAACTGAAACAGTGTCTTCCTGAAATGACATCACATTAACAGCGTTAGTCCGGAAAAGCATGGAAACTTTTAAATTTAAAGAAGTGCACATTTGCAAAATCAGATTAACACAAAGAGTGTTATTAAATGTGTAGTTTTCCTACATTTCACAAAGTTGCGCAAAAGAATTCCTCAGAAAAATTCATTGCACATACCCTTCAAGTAAGAAAGAAAGTCAGTCTACGGTTTGAAGTCATCAAATGATTTAAGCTTAGGAATACAGACACGTATGAAGTCTTAAAAGATGTTTGACAAAATGTGAAATATATTTGCCCATTAATGAAAACGAATGCCCGATCATCTTGAATTGAATGAACAACTCGATACTTTTAATATGAATGCATCTTTGATAGGGACGAGTGAAGCTAAAATGCGTTAGAATGCTTGTATAGTGAAATAGAATGAATCATTTTGATTGTCGAATGCCGATCTGCGTGATCTTCAATTTCAACCTAAATCGAATGAACCAGGCGTTAAATTGAAGATATTTCGTTTATGAGCAATTCAAAGAAAAATCTGCAACAATAGTTATTAACAAATTTCTCAAACAATTTCACAGCCCTACTCAAATACGTCCGAGTACTGCAAAAAAGAAAGAAATCAAGTTTTGGGCTATAATGAGATCTTTCACATATCACCCAAATTACTTGGAGAAAATGACAACAACTACTCATTCTTCTCTTGTGATTGATAAAGTGTAAGTGAATCATGTTCTTGGCTATTATGTATCAGGATATTTGTCACACATCACTAAATCTCCAACTGCAGTCTTAGAACACCAGGCACTACTCATAAGATTCCTCTCTTATGATTGGTTGAAACAGGCACAAAGCAAATCAAGCTCTGGGTTATTAAAATTTGTATCACAAATCACTAAACCTCCAACTACATACTTAACAGGTTATTAGCTACTCATACGGTTCTCCTAAGATTGATCCAAAAAGTCCAAAACCAATCATGTCCCTGGCTATCAGATTTCTAAGCTATCAGTTGAACGCCAACTATAGAACAATAAACTTACATGTAGAGACAAAACTGTTACCTAACAATACGTTTCTTCTCGTATTTATGATATAAAAGAAATGACAAATTCAAGTTCTGGGCCATCAAAACATGTCACAAATCAAAAGACTTCCAAGCGGAATATTTTTCTTTTATGAAAACTCATGTTCTGGGGAATCAGATAGATCACACATCACTTAATCTCAAACCGAAGAATTAGAGGGAACAAGAAGCACTACTCTCTTATGATTGATCCAAACAGTCAAAAAGCAAATCAAGTTCTGGGCATTCAAGATTTCTGTCATTAATCAATAATAACCTTCAAGAGCAGACTCAGCAGGCCATTAGCTACTCCTCAGGTTCTTCTCTTATGATGAGTGATCAAAAGGTCCCAAAAAAGATATCACATTCCTGGCTATCAGATATTAGTTGAAACTTCAACTATAGACTTAAATGTAGGGACAAGGCAGTTAGCTACTTCCAATAAACCAATCACAGAATTAGATAGACCATACTACTTGTTCTTCTCTTATGAATGATCCAAAAGTAAAAGAAAACTCATGTTCTGGGGGTATCGGAGTTGTCGCACCTACATAAATCTCCATCTGCAGACTAAGAGAGATCAGGCACTACTTAAAAAATTCCTCTCTTAAGACTGATCGAAAAAGCATAAACCTATGAAGTTTCTTGTCACAAATCACTAAACCTCCAACTGGAGACTTAAAAAGACCAGTAACTACTCATTCTTCTCTTATGAATGATCCACAAAGTAAAAGAAAACTCATACTGGGGCATCAGATTTTATCACATTCACAGGAGGCCATTGGAAAGTGTATAAAAAAAAAAATTAAAAAAAAAATCTCGGGGATGTTCGGGGATGTGCTGCTATCACACTTTCGCAGACTGCTTTACCTGGCAGTTGATTTTTCCGTATGTGTCCCCCGAGGTGCTGGTAGATCGCCTGTTTCTCTTCTCCTGTCCATGGCTTACGTATTTTCAGACGCACTGTTTAAAATTCAAAACAGACAGACGTTTCTGCACTGCAATCAAATACACGCCTTTCGGAGCATTCAAATCCACTTGAAATTGGGTGGGGCCAAAAAATTGGGTACTTTATGTCCTTTTTTTTTTTTTTAGGGGGGGGGGATTTGAACAATTCTTTTCTTATTTTGTGGGCTTTCTGAGGATTGGAGCAATCTGAGGATTGGACTGCACACAAAAGGATGGGAAATTAAAATTATCCCCACCCAGTCATGCTTTTTTCATTAAAGTTTCTTATTTTGTCTGTGTTTTTGATTCTTGATTTTTTTTTCTCAGCAAAAGGGAAGGTGGAAGGAGGAGGCTTCATGGCCCCTGTTGCGCCCCCATCCCTACAACACTGCTTTGTGCTTTTGAAATTTTGTTGAATGTTATAAAAAATAAAAATGAAAAATGAAAGACCTGCAGTTGATGTGCTTGGCTTCCCCTTAAAAAACAACAACGTAGAAAGACCAGTGTTGTGAAGTGTGCACATGGTACAGTATTACATCAATACAAACAGGAAATGAAAGGCACAATAGGTTTCACACGACATACACATACACGCGTAGTGCTCTGGGATATTGAAACCATCAGTAATTTGCAAACTAATTGCTTTGACTAAAATATTTGTAAATCTTCAAGTCATTTTTTAAAAATGTAGTAGCCATGACCTTTGTGCGACCATGACCTTTGTGCGACCATGACTACTAGGCTTTTTGGGCTCCATTTGTAACTTTTTAGCTGTCAAAGGAATGACATGAAAATAAATTGCTGGATTGGGGGAGGAAATACATGGAAATAAAGGGGAAACCAGCACACTTATTTTGGGTGTTTGGGCATCATTTTAGATTTTGTTTTTTTCATTGTGTTTTGGGTTTTTTTTGGGGGGGGGATCTGAAATTTCTATATCTGAGCTTTTGTGGCTTTGAAGGATGGGAAATGAAAATGTCTCTTTTTCGTGAAATTTCCAAAGCATTTCTTTTTTTCCTGTGTTTTTGCTTTTTTTTTCTTTCATTCTTGGCAGGGGGAGGGCTGGGAGGTTGGTCCCTTTTGCCCCCAGATCCTTCATTGGTAACATGCTTTCATGATTTTAAATTGTTTGCTTAACATTAATTTAAAAAAAAATAAAAAATTCCAAAAATACCGTACCCGCAGTTGACGTGCCTGGCCTTGCCCTTTAAAAAACACTTTTTAATGTAAATTTATTCACTTCTTCCCCCCACTTAGTTGTTTAAATAAGCAGGGGGGGGGAGGTGAATAAATTGTTTAAAAAGTTTTTGTAAAAGTTTATTTGAATACCCATTCAATTTGAATTGAATGGGTATTCAATTCAATTTTATAAAAGTGAACTCATCTACTTGTGAAAAATGAAGATCAGTAACAGATCCAAAGGAAAGAAAATAAGCAGAACATTACCTGCTGGGGCCCCGACTTCCTGCCACCTGATGACGGGTCTTTGCAAACATCTGAGTAAATTGAAACAAATGAAGGCAAGAAATTTTGAATCGCAAAGTTTTTTTTACGTTTTCGGAAACATGTCTGATCTATTAGAAGAGAAATCATCACGTTTCCAAAATATATCACTCTCTCAGGAATAAATCAAATAAATACTGTTTTCGGTCAAGTGTCAAAACATATATATAATTTCAATTTTCCAGTGATTTTGTTTGAAACTTTTATTTTCTTTCAAACTTGATTCCAGCTATTAATGGTTTGCACCTCGTGTGAGTAGCACTAACTATTTCCTCATAATTATGGAATTGACACGTGATGTGGTGTGATGTTAGGCGATAGGCAGCAGCGATAGTGACTTGTGAATATGACTCATACATAAAGGGTTCACTGGTAACATCTCCCATGCGTAAGAACCACTAAATTGTCCCAGGTATTAGTTTATGACTATGTATTTTTGATGTTTTTAAACACAAGAGAATGTGGACATGTATAAACCTGCAACTGTAAATGTATAATGCGCCCCACACATACCTCAATTATTCTATGAAAATTAATCTGCAATCTCAATCTGATAACAAAATTATTTTACGTACCTGCATCCTCCTCTTCACTTGATGATTCATCAGCCAAACACCTTGAAATAGAATAAAAGTTGTCCTTCGGTATTAGTGGCATATAATACCCTTTGAACGCTCTTATTAAACATAATGTAGGAATAGACAGTGGGCATTGGAAAGAATCATTCGAAGGAGGTAAAATGTGACCTTCTCGTACAAAAGATGATGCACCTTGGAACAGGTTGAATGGAAAAAGGGCCCAAAATGCTGTGGGCTAATTTTTAACTTGATGATTTTTAAATCCAGAACATATTAATATAACTATAATAAAGTATCTTCGACGATTTGTTCAGATATTAGGTCCCTTTGTGGACATTTGCTCTTCTAAAACTGGCACTTTCTCTGTTTTCCACTTTTCAACAGGACATGAACTTCAAAACAGCATTCTTCCCGAAATTATTCCAAGGTAAACACCATACATTTGTGTAGTGGTCTGCCAAATAGTCCAAAGCCCCAATCTACCGGGGGTTATTGGTCCAAAAATAAACTAGGGTTCTTTTATCTGATCATTTGATACAACAGTGTTTAAGGTTCTTTAGTCCTAAATTTCATTACAGTCAAAAGCTTTGGTAGTCCAAATTTAGTCCAATTAATTACCTGAAGGACCGATTGTCCAAATGGAAAACAAGGTTTCTACTGTCCAAAGACTAATTATTCTAAAATGAATTAGGGCCAATAAATAGAAATTTAAAATATCACTCTTTATTGCCTATTCAGATTGTTGAATCTTATCGTCACTCTAGACTACAAACTTTAGTGTCAATTTGGGCTTTTGAACACTTTTGTCATATTTCAAAATGAAACCACAATTTAAAAGGAAATTAACATATTTGCAATAATATGCAAATATCTCAGGTCCATCCATATTCCCAGAAAAGTCCCAGGTCACAGTACGAGAATCCTAATTAATGCACCTAATGGTTCCTTACCTTCCAAATCAATATCATCAAGTTTTCGGCCAGACAGTTTTGCTATCTTGCCTTTGTCTTCAGCAAGAAGTAGCTTGCTGACTTTCGCAAGCTCTAGTGTCGACTCGTGTTGGCGGTAGAAGTCCCTGTGGACAGTTATGTCGTGGCACAGGTGCCTTGCTAGCCAGTCGAGCGCATTGCTGTTTAGGTCTATAATCTGAGACACCGTTGCAACATACTTTCTCAGCTTTGTGCTCGTTTCTGCAGGAGGCTCTTGCAGATTAGCCTGCTTGGCAACAGCAGTTAGGCAATCCCATCCTCTCACTTGTTTCAAGGAGTTTCGGGGGCGAGCAAATATATAGGGATTCGCATTATGCGCCCCAACTGCTTCACGGTTTTCCATCAAGACTTCCACTGGTCAGAAGCACAGGCACTGCGCGACCTCTCTTTCCCCTTATCTGTACCAGGTCGAGTCTGTATACAAATCAAATGGCACCAGAAACAAATCAAATGGCACCAGAAAAAGAATGACTTAGTTGAATGACTAAACAAATATGATACAATAAGCAATACATCCGTTAACTAGAGGATAGTTCCAAATTCTGGTAAACCCAAAGAAACTCTTATCCCCTTCAATACAATAGGATAACATACACATGAATATTGCCAAATTAAACTAAAAATGCCTGTAACATTTAGGTTTAATTCAGCTACTCCCCCAAAAAAGAAACATTCCCATGTTTCAAACTGTCCAATACAATTAATACGTACTGAGCTTTCCCAGGTCAAACCTTTGCAATCAGATTCCTACCGAAGGCCAGTATTAACTTGTCACCCCTTACCACCATGGATATCTGATGATGGACCATTGCCGACCGAACATGCAAAATGGGCATGGCAGGTTATCTGAAGATTGGACCTCTTGACCGAAGGGAGGATTTCTGGCAACGATGATCTGACCCACACCAGTTGACAGCACCTCCATATTATGGTAGAAATTCCCTTTCAAACGGAGCCTCTCAAATTCAACAGTAGGTCGCCTGTTAGTTGACTTGGGCTCCTTGGCCTTGGCATGTTTTACCTCAGACTCATCAGCGTGCATATCTTTCATGTGCCTGGCTGCCTTGGAAACCATACTGCCACAAAAAAGGCATGCTTGCCGCTTCTCGTATATTCTAGCCTGCCCTTCGGTGCCTTGTTGAGCTCATCTATACAAACAACCAACAACAAAAAAGCATGAAGTCTTTTGAGTTGTTGTAGTTTATTGTAGTAACAGTGAGACATGTATGTCAATAACAAATGGTTAGTGACCAGTTACAGGACCATCACTGTGTGGACCCATGTAGTAAGACATATGCCAATAACAGACAGGTGTGTGACCAGTTACAGGACCATCACTGTGTGGACCCATGTAGTAAGACATATGCCAATAACAGACAGGTGTGTGACCAGTTACAGGACCATCACTGTGTGGAACCATGTAGTATGACATATGCCAATAACATACAGGTGTGTGACCAGTTACAGGACCATCACTGTGTGGAACCATGTAGTATGACATATGCCAATAACATACAGGTGTGTGACCAGTTACAGGACCATCACTGTGTGGAACCATGTAGTATGACATATGCCAATAACATACAGGTGTGTGACCAGTTACAGGACCATCACTGTGTGGACCCATGTAGTAAGACATTTGCCAATAACAGACAGGTGTGTGACCAGTTACTGGACCATCACTGTGTGGACCCATGTATGCCAATAACAGACAGGTGTGTGACCAGATACTGGACCATCACTGTGTGGACCCATGTATTAAGACAAATGCCAATAACAGACAGGTGTGTGACCAGTTACTGGACCATCACTGTGTGGACCCATGTATGCCAATAACAGACAGGTGTGTGACCAGATACTGGACCATCACTGTGTGGACCCATGTATTAAGACAAATGCCAATAACAGACAGGTGTGTGACCAGTTACAGGACCATCACTGAGTGGACCCATGTAGTAAGACAAATGCCAATAACAGACAGGTGTGTGACCAGTTACAGCTAGGACCATCAGTGTGTGGCCCATGTAGTAAAACAAATGCCAATAACAGACAGGTGTGTGACCAGTTACAGGACCATCACTGTGTGGACCCATGTAGTAAGACATACGCCAATAACAGACAGGTGTGTGACCAGTTACAGGACCATCACTGTGTGGACCCATGTAGTAAGACATATGCCAATAACAGACAGGTGTGTGACCAGTTACAGGACCATCACTGTGTGGACCCATGTAGTAAGACATACGCCAATAACAGACAGGTGTGTGACCAGTTACAGGACCATCACTGTGTGGACCCATGTAGTAAGACATACGCCAATAACAGACAGGTGTGTGACCAGTTACAGGACCATCACTGTGTGGACCCATGTAGTAAGACATACGCCAATAACAGACAGGTGTGTGACCAGTTACAGGACCATCACTGTGTGGACCCATGTAGTAAGACAAATGCCAATAACAGACAGGTGTGTGACCAGTTAAAAGACCATCCTTGTGTGGGCCCATGTAGTAAGACATATGCCAATAACAGACAGGTGTGTGACCAGTCACAGGACCATGACTGTGTGGACCCATGTAGTGAGACATATGCCAATAACAGACAGGAGTGTAAAAGAAAACTCATGTTCTGGGGGTATCGGAGTTGTCGCACCTACATAAATATCCATCTGCAGACTTAGAGAGATCAGGCACTACTTAAAAAATTCCTCTCTTAAGACTGATCGAAAAAGCGTAAACCTATGAAGTTTCTTGTCACAAATCACTAAACCTCCAACTGGAGACTTAAAAAGACCAGTAACTACTCATTCTTCTCTTATGAATGATCCACAAAGTAAAAGAAAACTCATACTGGGGCATCAGATTTTATCACATTCACAGGAGGCCATTGGAAAGTATAAAAAAAAAAAAAAAAAAAAAAAAAATCGGGAATGTTCGGGGATGTGCTGCTATCACACTTTCGCAGACTGCTTTACCTGGCAGTTGATTTTTCCGTATGTGTCCCTCGAGGTGCTGGTAGATCGCCTGTTTCTCTTCTCCTGTCCATGGCTTACGTATTTTCAGACGCACTGTTTAAAATTCAAAACAGACAGACGTTTCTGCACTGCAATCAAATACACGCCTTTTGGAGCATTCAAATCCACTTGAAATTGGGTGGGGCCAAAAAATTGGGTACTTTATGTCCTTTTTTTTTTTTTTAGGGGGGGGGATTTGAACAATTCTTTTCTTATTTTGTGGGCTTTCTGAGGATTGGAGCAATCTGAGGATTGGACTGCACACAAAAGGATGGGAAATTAAAATTATCCCCACCCAGTCATGCTTTTTTCATTTTGTCTGTGTTTTTGATTCTTGATTTTTTTTTCTCAGCAAAAGGGAAGGTTGAAGGAGGAGGTTTCATGGCCCCTGCTGCGCCCCCATCCCTACAACATTGCTTTGTGCTTTTGAAATTTTGTTTAATGTTATAAAAAATAAAAATGAAAAATGAAAGACCTGCAGTTGATGTGCTTGGCTTCCCCTTAAAAAACAACAACGTAGAAAGACCAGTGTTGTGAAGTGTGCACACGGTACCGTTATTACATCAATACAAACAGGAAATGAAAGGTACAATAGGTTTCACACGACATACATGCGTAGTGCTCTGGGATATTGAAACCATCAGTAATTTGCAAACTAATTGCTTTGACTCAAATATTTGTAAATCTTCAAGTCATTTTTTAAAAATGTAGTAGCCATGACCTTTGTGCGACCATGACTACTAGGCTTTTTGGGCTCCATTTGTAACTTTTTAGCTGTCAAAGGAATGACATGAAAATAAATTGCTGGATTGGGGGAGGAAATACATGGAAATCAAGGGGAAACCAGCACACTTATTTTGGGTGTTTGGGCATCAATTTTAGATTTTGTTTTTTTCATTGTGTTTTGGTTTTTTTTGGGGGGGGGGGATCTGAAATTTCTATATCTGAGCTTTGTGGCTTTGAAGGATGGGAAATGAAAATGTCTCTTTTTCGTGAAATTTCCAAAGCATTTCTTTTTTTCCTGTGTTTTTGCTTTTTTTTCTTTCATTCTTGGCAGGGGGAGGGCTGGGAGGTTGGTCCCTTTTGCCCCCAGATCCTTCATTGGTAACATGCTTTCATGATTTTAAATTGTTTGCTTAACATTAATTTTTAAAAAAAAAAAAAATTCCAAAAATACCGTACCCGCAGTTGACGTGCCTCGCTTGCCCTTTAAAAAACACTTTTTAATGTAAATTTATTCACTTCTTCCCCCCACTTAGTTGTTTAAATAAGCAGGGGGGGGGGGAAGAAGTGAATAAATTGTTTAAAAAGTTTTTGTAAAAGTTTAATTGAATACCCATTCAATTTGAATTGAATGGGTATTCAATTCAATTTTATAAAAGTGAACTCATCTACTTGTGAAAAATGAAGATCAGTAACAGAACCAAAGGAAAGAAAATAAGCAGAACCTTACCTGCTGGGCGCCCAGCTTCCTGCCACCTGATGACGGGTCTTTGCAATATCTGAGTAAATTGAAACAAATTAAGGCAAGAAATTTTGAATCACAAAGTTTTTTTTACGTTTTCGGAAACATGTCTGATCTATTAGTGAAGAAATCATCACATTTCCAAAATATATCACTCTCTCAGGAATAAATCAAATAAATACCGTTTTCGGTCAAGTGTCAAAACATATATATAATTTCAATTTTCCAGTTTATGACAATGTATTTTTGATGTTTTTAAACACAAGAGAATGTGGACATGTATAAACCTGCAACTGTAAATGTATAATGCGCCCCACACATACCTCAATTATTCTATGAAAATTAATCTGCAATCTCAATCTGATAACAAAATTATTTTACGTACCTGCATCCTCCTCTTCACTTGATGATTCATCAGCCAAAACACCTTGAAATAGAACTAGAACTATGTGGTTGTGAGTGAACAACCACAGAGCTGTTCCCAACATGTTTTTGATTGTCTATTGCACAGTACAAAATGATTCAATGATTTGTTCTAAACAAATTTTACTCTTAAATTGAAATTATAATATGAATCGGTGATGGTCTTGTTCGGGACACATTTTCCGAAGAGAAGCTGGTTGGGTTCTGAAAACATAAAATTAAAAATATATTTTTGGGAACAGGTCTGTTTGTACGAGATATAGACATATAAGTAGAGATCTATGTCTGTTTGCAACAGAAGATGCGGCTTTTCCGCATTATGATTTGTTTTTATCAATAATACGTCCCTGACTATGCATGAACATAAAATCTGTCAAAGCTAGCCGAAAATCGGCTAAAACGGTCACTGTGGACAGGATTTGACCTCAGCAACACGTGCGCTGCGCGCGGGCCGACTGACATACGATATGAACAACGTACGTGCATGTACATGTACATGTACATTGTGGACGTCCTGTGCATGTTTTAAAGCAGAGGTATTGTCAACCTGAAGTTTTAAGCGTGCGCAGGGCATGTCCGAGTTTGCTTATTGCCTTGAAGCTTTGAACTGTTTTAGACCTACCCTTCAATAGACAATTAAAGTAAAAACTAATATAAAAACTGCCATGGTTGATTTTTCAGGAATTTTCTAAGGAAAAAGGGTCTTTTCATTATAACTTCCGGTCTGATGACGTCATACGCCTAAAACTTCGCACACGTCTTAAGTGGGTCAAGGTCATCATATACACCAATATTTAGGCAATTCCGACAAACTTCGCCACAGACATCTATTCAAAATACATTTTTGCAAATTTTCAACCTGTCGCTAGAGGGCGCTCGAAGATTGCATGACGTCAACGGTAAATGATTTGAAGAATACTTTTAGCCAAGAGACTAACACCGTTAAAAGCAAGTTCATATCTATTACCACTTTTAAATAATAAGCCACTTCCGGTTTTGGCCTTTTTCGACCGGAAGCAGGGGTCACGTGATTTCACGCACACTGAATGAAATAAAGACCTCAACCTACTCTACCACTTGCCGGCAACAAAATGCTGCGGACGCGTACGGTTGATTTCTTATGCATTTTTAAATATTAAAAGTGTCACAATTTAATTGCCTATAAATAAACACCGGATGACGTCATCATGACGTCATCATTACACAATGTTGTTTGAATTAGGGTCTTTGCTTGGACAAAGATTGGTGTAAATGAATTACTGGCAAAGAGTCGAAAATGCCCTCTGAAAATTGACATTTTAAAAAAAAATTCTGTGTACAAAGTCTATGGGAAAAATTAAATATTCAAAATTCTATAATAAATCACGTGATGACGTCAGCATGACGAAAAGTTTCGGCACACATCCTCAGATGATGATTAATAACTATGCTGAGTTTAAAGTTGATCGGATTTAAAATAATTGCCAAAGTGGCTTGTAGAATAAAAACGTGTACAAAACCTATGGGGAAAAGTGGAAAAAGAAAAAAAAAAAAAAAAAAAAAAAAAAAAAAAAAAAGGAAAAAAAAAAACTTTAACGAAAACAATAGCTGTTCCCAATTGAAATTGGGAACAGCTAATAAAAGTTGTCCTTCGTATTAGTGGCATATAATACCCTTTGAACGCTCTTATTAAACATAATGTAGGAATAGACAGTGTTATTGGCGATGCCTTTGACTCTTTTTCAAAATTGAGAAAATTGAACTCATAATGGGATTGATCTTTGTTGTGGGAACAAGGGGATTTAGGAAAGTTATCAAATCCAGCAAAGATATCAGTGGGCATTGGAAGAATCATTCAAAGGAAGTAAAATGTGACCTGCTCGTACAAAAGATGATGCACCTTGGTTGAATGGGAAAAGGGCCCAAAATGCTGTGGGCTAATTTTTAACTTGATGATTTTTAAATCCAGAACATATAAATATAACTATAATAAAGTATCTTCGACGATTTGTTCAGATATCAGGTTCCTTTGTTGACATTTGATATTTTAAAACTGCCACTATGTCTGTTTTCCACTTTTCAACAGGACATGAACTTCAAAATAGCATCCTTCACGAAATTATTTCAAGGTAAACGCAATAGGTTTGTGTAGTGGTCTGCCAAATAGTCCAAAGCCCCAATCTACCGGGGGTTATTGGTCCAAAAATAAACTAGGGTTCTTTTATTTCATCATTTGATACAACAGTGTTTTGGTTTTGGTAGTCCAAATTTAGTCCAATTAATTACCTGAAGGACAGTAAACAATTTGGCTAATCCAAACCATTTTTGTGTGCAAATAATGCTTGTGAGTTTTGGCAATGGAAGTTAAAAAAAATACATTTTCTTTCTTCATTCTTCCGAAAGAAAATTCTTTTTTTTACTATACATGTATCTTCATCATGTGAAGAGTAATAAGAACACAAGTACACAATTTTGGAGTACTATTGGTAGAAAGAGCCGCCTACCACACTGAGAACGCCAAAAAAGGGGGAAAGGAAAAACGATATGGGAATCTCAAAACAATACAAAAATGTAATATACTACACAAAATGCATTAAGTATGCAATCAGACCACTAAACGGGTCGCAGTATCATGTTTTACTGTACCAACAACGATAAACCATACTTTTACACTTCATGCTCGCAAATTGGCATCGACCAGGAATGGCCGGGTACAAAATTGCGGAACGAAGTCCGCTTAAATACGCAAACAGTACTCACGGGTGAGAGTCGCGCTGAGGGCAAGTGCCTAGTCTTAACCATGTGTGTGGCGCTAATGAGGGATCAAAATGAATTGCTATGGAAGCGAATGATGGGGTTTGGCAAAACACTGAACTTGTACCCAAGGAAGACGGACTGAATGAAATATTCATCCATCTCCAATCGACCACCCTACTATGGAAATGTATGCCATCTGGGCAAATGATTGGCCAGAAGGAAGACGTGGGCCAGTGTGGTACGACTTATGTGCCGGTGGCATTGTCAGAGAGAATTCTTTTGAAGACCTGTATAATCAAGGATACTGGAGGACAAAAATAATTATTTTCGCCCAACCAATTCTGAGAGAATGCATCGACTTCAGCCACGCCTTTACACCAAAACCTGGAGTTAAACCGCGTGAATTTAGCGTTATGAGGTGATGGCGAAACGGTCAATAGTGCGAGGACCCCATAGACTATCTATAAACCGAAATGATCCCCGGTCGATAGACCAGTCGTCGAAGTCTCGAAATCGACTGATTTCATCGGCGAGTTTGTTCTCGTTTCTAGGTACCCACTCAGGTAACAAGGCCATGTGAAATATTGATTTTGCGAGTTCATGCAAGTTGGGTTTGGGGCTGCCACACTGAATGATAATTGGGACACTGGAATTGTCGGTAAACCATTTGACGTTCTGGCCTGTCACTGCTTTTTGCAACTGCTTAAGTACGTGACTTACTGCGGCTAGTTCGCGCCAAGTAGAACTTTTTCGTTGCTCTACTGGGGACCAGGTACCGTGTACTTAAAAGTAAGGGTGACCTTCGACGTAACCACCGTAGCCCGTGTCGCTTGCATCGGAATAGATAGTCAAAGAGTGGACTAAGCCTGCCTCGTATGGTAAAACCATTCAGGGACTGTAATTGCGTGAGCCAGAATAATCTGAGTTCCGAAACGGCGTCAGCAGGGAGAACAAATTAATCGGACCAAGAGTGACGCGAATCAATGGCGTGGTAGCAACAACGTGTCTTAAATCTAGCGACTGGACCGAGTGCTAATGAGGATGAAATTATGTGACCGGTAAATCGCGCTAAGTCTCGTACGGGAATGGCTTGGTTGGACTGGTGGGAATCCAGCACGGATGAAATGAACGTGAGAATCTTGTGAATTTTGCTTTGTGGTACCTGAAAGCGAAATGCGTCGGAGTTGATGGTAAGACCCAAGTACTGAATTGTTTTAGTGGGTGACCAGACACATTTTGTTTTGCTAGGAACGAATCCGCTGCAGGTTATGAGGTTGCGCACAAAGGAAACATTGGCTGAAGCTGACTCAAAGTCGGGGGAGACAATGAGTCCGTCGTCGATGTACATAAAGGCCACGATACCGTTTTGACGGCAATGGTGCAACTATAGGCCTGTTTAATTTGGTGAATAAGTGACAGGCGCTACTTAAACCGAAAAGAAGAACAGTAAAGGTATAATATCGGGTGACTGAATCGTTATGATGCCAAGAGAAACCGAGATATTTTTGATGAGATGGGAAGATATCGACATGATGGTAACCCAACTCAAGATCAAAAGAAAAGTAGTACTGATTGTAATCGAGTGACGGAGCGATGTGGTGGGATCTTCGTACTTGAATTTCTCTTTCCAAATGTACTTATTCCGGTGTCGTAGGTCAAGCACTAATCGCAACTTTTTACCTTCTGCGACAGTCAAAGGATTGCAGCAGTATGGGGTAACAGTGCATTGCGTGATACAATTCTTTGCGAGCAAATCCGCGATGGCAGTTTCCACAAATTGTGCATGGGATAGACTTGACTTATTGTTTGACAAAACAGCAAGAGGAGGAGTGACATAAAATGGAATCTTGTATCCATCTGAAATAACCTCTTGTACAAAAATACTACACTTAAGTATGTCTCGCCAAAATAAGAAGCGAGGTTTCAGCTTACCCTTTACACCGGATGGGACAGGAGTAGTTGAGACCTGCTCTTCCCAGTCCCTATGCTGTGGTGGTATCAGTGGCTGAAGGTTGTGACCGGCGCTGAGGCTGTTGGAGGGCCCGAAGAGAGGGGCAGTTGGATCGGATATGTCCTGCGATTCCGCACTGGAAACAGGACCGGAAATCTTGACGATATGTGTACCGGCTGTAGGTACGAAAAGAACTCGCAGCAGGGTAAGGACGTACAGGATTGCGAGCCTTGGCCTTGGACTTCTTAGCGGCTTCTGATTTCTTGCTGGTCGCCATTTTCTCCGCCTTTCTAAGTCGTTTCTCATCGTCCGAGTCGTCGGCT